GGACCTCCTTTCTTGCTGTGTGTGGCTAAGCAATACACTGGTAGGCGGAACTTGCTGACTTATATTTCTATTTATTAAATAAAAATAATGTAAATATTCAATTTTTTTTAATGAATCAAGGATCAGGTATAAACATAAATATATGGAATAATGTCTGGTTTTTGTGATTTTATGATGATGATCAAATAGTTTGCTCTCCTGCTAATTTAAATTATGCGTGAATGCCTTCGGTGTTTATGCAAATTATCATGAGAGCAACGTGATTGAACACATCATGAAACCAAAAAACTAGACAGTTATTCCTTAATTACATCCAGGACATCTGTAAAGTCTGGAGAGCACACACTGGTAGTTTGTGATTGAAATTGTGAGTCAACCATCATTGACAACAACTTTGTGATTTTTATGCCCCCATATCCAAGATTCAGGGGTATATAAGGTTTTTGCCCTGTCTGTCTGCAAAAACTTTAACATTGCTCATAACTTTTGATTGGTTGGAGCTTTCATATTTCACATGTGTATTCCTTATGACAAGACCTATCTTTGGGTACCATCATATTTGATCTTTTGATCTTGACCTTGGAGTTTGACCCAGTTTTGCAAATTTTTACCCACTTTAACCTTGGCCATAACCTTTGAACTATTGGGCTAGGCCTTTCATACTTCACATGTGTAATCCTTGTGACAAGACCTTCCTTTGGATTTCAACAACTTTGATCCTTTGACCTTGACTTAGGAGTTTGACTTACTTATGAAAAACTTTAACCTTGGCCATAACTTTTGAACCATTGGTGCTACAACTTTCATACTTCACATATGTAATCCTTGTGACAAGACCTTCCTTTGGATACCAACAACTCTGACTCTTTGACCTTGATCTTGAAATTTTACCTACTTTTGGAAAACTGTAACCTTGGCCATAAAGTTTGAACAGTTGGCGCTACGGCTTTCATATTTAATATGTGTATTCCTTGTGACCAGATCTTCCTTTGGATACCAACAATTATAGCCCATTGACCTTGACCTTGGGGTTTGACCTACTTTTGGAAAAATTAACCTTGGCCATTACTTTTGAATAGTTGGTGCTAGGGCTTTCATACTTCAGAATTGTAATCCTTGTGACAAGACCTTCCTTTGGATTTTAACAACTTTGACCTTGACCTAGAAGTTTGACCTTTTGGAAAACTTTAACCTTGGCCATAACTTTTGAACAGTTGGTGCTACCTAGGGCTTTCATATTTAATATGTGTATTCCTTGTGACAAAACCTTTCTTTGGATACCAAAAATTAAAGACCATTGACCTTGACCTTGGAGTTTGACCTACTTTTGTAAAACTTTAACCCTGGCCATTATTTTTGAATAGTTGGTGCTAGGGCTTTCATACTTCACATTTGTAATCCTTGTGACAAGACCTTACTTTGGATTTCAACAACTTTGATCCTTTGACTTTGGAATTTGACCTACTTTTGACTTTAACCTTGGCCTTTACTTTTGAACAGTTGGTGCTAGAACTTTCATATTTCACGTGTATTTCTTGTGAGAAGGCCTTTCCTTGGGCACCATTAATTTTGACCATTTGAACTTGACCTTGATGTTTGACTTTTGAAATCTTTAACCTTTTCCATATCTATTCAATGGTTGCTGCTAGGGCTTTCATATTTCACAGGTATATTCCTCTTTGTACAATCAAAGAATTATTTTTGTTACAAAGACTATGACGGTTCTTAATTTCATTTACAAGTATCCTAATTGAAAGCAAATTTTGTAAATATGTATAGTAGAGCTTTATAACCATCAAAATGATCATTGCTTAGCACTATCATCTTTCTATTACATTAAATGAATTTTACAAGCCATAGCCATTGTTCATTTATCTATGCTCGTCTGTATACATTAACAACCTGTCCCACTTCCATGCTGATATGGATACTTTTTGTGCCTCTATCGTAGGAGAGTTACAATCTCGAAACTCGCGTATTATAAAGTATCTTTTCTGTTTTCTAATCGACTCAAGAATTACCCAATACATTGTACATATGTATATGAAAATACAAGACAAAAATAAAATAGTAAGCAATTTATATTTTTCTTATTTATTATAATTAACACAGGCTTGAACAAACTGGACTGAATGTATACATTATATCAGTCCATGTATTACACTCTTAAAATTGAATTAATCACCATAAGTACTGGTAATAAAAGTGAAAATTCCTTATAGAAGCATTTATATCTTTGCAATAGCACATCAGGTCATGTGAAAACAGTGAGATAAAAATTCAGATTCCAGTCTGTGTGATTTCACATTCGCACACTCTCCAATGCCTGCATGATAATCCATATAAAACATGTTTTACCAAACCAACATTTGGTAACCCTCTGTCAACACCCATACCCTTACTAAAATAAGAGACAATTAGCAACTCTGCAATCTAAAACAGGTTTATTTGCTAAAATATGTGTCAGACATAGCAGTTTTATTAAAACTACACTCTTTCTTGGTTTTATATTTCAAAGTAAAGTGTATATTTCTATTATGTATGGATGTGTAGTATTTAAAAAGTTTTAAAACTATACATTAATAAACAAAAGCAAAAAAGGCAAATTAAACATGTCAATAATCAAAAGATGAGAAAATCTCGGAGATATACCGGTATGTCTGACCATAGGTGGCTGATGCGTTTTGAAACTCCTTAGTTAATAATCTTTAAGATTTAAATAATTTGAATTGGTGATTGTGTTTTCCTCAAAATCTCACAGGATGATGCGAGATTTCCTGCAGTTACAAACCTTTGTTATCTACATCTCTGCTTACATTGAGGCTATAAACAATGAGACGTCACAAAAATTGTACATAGTGTTTTACATTACAACTGAACAGATAATTTTGCAATTAAATTTGCAACTATTGATTTTATTTCACACTTGGTAAAAAGGGCATCCATCAGTGATTCTGTAAGAATACATCATTAACAACAATAATTAAGACCAGATTACATCTTAATTCTAAAATCTAAACATCCAATTTTAATGCTGCAATATTCCCAACATAAATATTTAACATTTACATGTATATATAGGAATCTTCAGGTAAAGTTTAAAAAAAAGAAAACACACAGCAAAACTGCCCTCCCTACCCAGTAAAAAAAGAAAAACTGTATCTTTAATACTGTCAAACAGAAAATATGTCATTAAACAAAACTTGCATTGCTGAGATTCCAATCATGCATCTGTGTCATCAACCTTTAAATTACTTTTATTAAAATACTAATCATGATATACCAGACTTGAACTCATTCTCACCATTTGGTGCTCAATGTATTTATTTAATCAATTTTAATTTTGTTTTGTTATGTTTTACAAAATGTTATCCTGCATTCCTCAGAAGAGATTCTTCACACAATCATACATATCTTTTACCAAGAAACATGGAAATGTAATGAAGCAAAGCTTTGAATATATTTCACAAAATAATTCAGTGTCTGGCCAGTTTTAATTAATGCTTGATTGCTTTATCTTTGCCGGTTGGGGGGTTTATATGTGCATACATGTCTTTGTGGATTGGTTACATTTAACATTCAAGAACATGTATATAACTATCAAACAAAAGAGATTCAGTTACATTCTTTTCATGAATTAATGCTTTAAAGTGGAAGTTTCGATTCAAACACCCAAACATGGACGGAAACAGCTAAACCTAAAACGATGGCTCTAAATACTTGTATTCATATACCCAGCACAAAAAAAATACAAAACATAGAATATTTTAATATTACTGAATATTAAAGAAACATCATACTAATACATTTCATTCTTTCCTCAAAGAAAATGCACTCAGCTTCATGACAAACAATTAAAATCTAGCAACACAGACGACTTGAAACTTTATATTGTTCGTTTATACACGAAAAAGTAAAAACTGAAATTCTTGACAGAAAATATGTATATAAGGCCACTTTGTGCTAAAAAAAAAAACCCTTTGACAAATTTCACTTCAAATTACTTTTCATTTTAATGACTGTATAGTGATTTTTCCCAAACTGAAAAGACTAAAAAGACAAAACAACACGAGACACAATAATATGTATATACATAGAACATGTTTTTTAATTTAATTACTAAATTAATAGTCTCGCTACTAAATTAACACAGCAAATAAGATTTATTTCTTAATACTACCCATAACAATTTGAACACAAAACTGCAGATCTTTATAAAAACTGAAATGTTACTACTGGTACTTGGGACAGTACCGTAAATCACTTTTTTTATTCACAAGCACTTTTATTTTCTCATAATTATATGATACCATCTTTTTTCAGAAATTTTAGTCTCACATATATTAACATAAATATATACTATAATCACCAAAATTTGTGACAATTTTGTCTTGCTTATCAATACATGTACCATTTTCCTTTTTCGCCAAAATAAGATGTCACAAAAATTTGGTGATATACAGTATGTTGGTTCAGAGAACCATCAGCTTTCATCTTCCTGATATAAATAAATATTCATATGTGTTCTGACAAAACAAAATATCTTGTTTTTTTCATATTCAAAAAACATATATACAAAGAATTGCAAACAAGTAAAATATCTACAAGCACTTTTAAGAGATTCATTCCTGCAGCACTTAATGCACTAAAAACAAAACAAAAATTGGTTGAGTTTCCTTGTGTAAAAAGCATAATAATAATAGGAAAAGATTCATGTAATTCTAAAGGAAAACAAGTCAATTTATTCAAACAAATCACAGGTAAAAAGCTCTGGTGTTATGACAAAAAAAAAAAAAAAAAGAAAAAAAAAGATAATATGTCAGGGATTGAAGATTCAGAATAATACTTTATGCATAGTATTTTTAGTAACATTATGTAAAAACACATGTGTACATAAACAGTTTATGTACACTTAAATGTCTGTAAAAAATGGTAAAAATTTAAAAAGTATCATCTTGATAAATTTTTGAATAATTTATCAATTATGAAATAGAAGTACAAAATTAAAGTGCTAAAACATTAAGCCAAAAATATGAAGTAGTTTTAAAACTAAAATTCAAGTAAAAATTTTCAATGGGTGTCCAAGAATTCTTGTAAAACATATAAATAAGTACCTGTAATATCTTTAAAAAATTATATACTTCAGTGAAATATATGGTACCTTAAAACATCATGCTGAAAATAAATGCTAAGGACCACACAGAATTCATTTCCTAGAGAAAGAGCTGCATGGTGCTGTATGAATATAGACAACAAACTTCAATGACTGCAAATTCACTCTGACAGCAGTTTTTAAGATTTGAACCAATGACCTGTAAGGTACAACAAAAGCAAAGCTCTTTTGTGTATAAGCTCTTTTCTCTTGTAATCTCTGAGGATTTTGAGAGTACAAACTATCTTATGTTGTAGAGACTATAAATTGGTAAACATGGCTAGGGAATACTTCACCTTATAATTATACATGTATACAGCTGCCTAAGATTTCCTCATGGTGGAATACTGTCAGCATTATCAGGTTGAAGCAATGCTGTGCATGTTATAAATAATACCCTCTCAACTCAACATAATGTATGTATAAAAAGTATAAATAGTTACATGAACAGCAAAGTTACTTTGTGTTGGATTCTCAATCAATATTATATTTTGACTTTAATACAGTACTGTTTAATGAAAGTTTTACACAATCAATAATAAATTAAATGAAAAAATTTGGCACCTTGGAAGTCATGGTTTGATCATAAAGTGAATATTTCAGTTATTAAAAAAAACCCACTAAAGCCAAATTAATTAACTTAAAAATGATTGTCACACAGAATCAAAACAGTGATTCTTGTAGAATTATCTGACTAGACTTTGCCAAGGATACTGATAAGAAAGATATACATAATTACATATCCCTGCATGTATCCACAATTTGCTAGCAACCTAAAGAGAAAAAACTGAAAACAGTAAGACTAAGTGCCACAAACGGTCTACCTTTGCTATCATTTAACCCTTGTTTTTATTATATTTGAAAGATGATCAAAATAATTTTAAAACTGAATTTGAAAAGGACCAAGTATACTCTTTTGAAATATTCAAAGGTAAAAAGGTAAATTAGAGAGGTAATACAGGTGCATCATGTAAAAGTTCACCAGACACTAGTGATTATAACTGAAAGGTTCCCATACTTTGACAATGCATGAACCAGAGGCCAGTGAAGGAAAAAGGGGATAAAACGGGCACTTATTTAAAAAAATACTGTAAAACAATAGTTACAAATTTTGCAACTATATAGATACACACAGCAAGTAAACATATGAATAAACCCTAAGCTGTGTTCATTTTCTCTTTCAACTCCACTACAATCCACCATAGAATTTTAGTGTTTCATGGTAAGAAAATGATAAAAAATCTCTAGATGAACACATATAAGACAGTAGGACCAACACACTACTTTCCTGAATCTCACTTACAGGTAAAAACAAACATGGTATTCTGTTAAAATTAAGCTTAAGCTCAAAAAAAAAAAAAAAATTGGAAAAAAAGCCAACCATTACTACCATGTGTATGTACTTCTAAAGATTTAACTTTGAACAATTTTTTTTACCCATTCTCTAACAATGATCTAATGGAAAAAACAAATAAGCAAGCAAACACTCTTTGGATAAATAAAAACAAGCAAAAAAACCCTCTTGAAATGCAATAAAGAAAACCCCCGAAACAGAAGAACTAACGTCTATCTTCATAGTTTACTCTCCGCTTTATCTAAAATGTCATCGAAGTTGACTTTCTCGGGTCTCTCTGGTATGGCACAACTTGTGTCTCGATCTCGAGTAACATACTCATCATTGATCTCATCAGAATTATGACCCGAATCATTATCAGGTTTTAAGAATGCAGCTGTGGACTGAGTATAGCCACCTGTTTCTATAACAATATTCTTAGAGGTAGGTCCTTCAAACTTGAAGAATCCCAGTTTTCTTGCAAGGGCGACCCCTGGAATGCATAGAACCGAGGAAAGGACTAGGAAAGCAGCTGTTGCTCCGCCCCACCATGGATACGTCTCAGGAACCATGATATACTAGAAATATAAACCGAACATCATATAGCAGAGTACAAACTATTTTGTTTCTTTATGAATTTACCCTCTAAGATATTTTTAGTAAAACATTGATAAAACAAACACTGATGAAAAAACTGTTGTGTTCTAGCCAAAAATTTTTATTTCACCATGCTTGCAGAACATAATGCTGCAGATAAGCAGATTTTCTTTGTGTATGTTGACTGGTTGCATAATAATGAAATGTAGATCGATTTTTGTTTCTTATAGCCCACTTTTAATGTAACAATTAAATTTCTTTTTAAGTTTTAGGCTTTGCCTACAGATAATATACACAATTTGGTGATTGGATGATTAATGACCTCACTGTTACAGTGTTGATTATTATTACAGGGTGTGTACTTTACAATTATTTCTTTATTTCTATAGTAAGAAATGATCATTTATACTCAGTATTATTTCAATAAAAAGATGTAATTTAAATGATTATAAGAAAAAAGAATGATGCTCTTTGTCTTTGTTATAGTTTCATACAATTCAAAAATGAGGTCACTGTGACCTACTTTTGAAAGCTAGGTGATACACAACCACACTAAGCTTCCTTAATGGACAAGCTTTAACGATCATAGTCCTCACAAAGTCCAAAATATAATTGTCATGTAGTACAGACAGGAAAATTTACCCACTGTACTGTTGACACATAAATATATACACACATAAAAAAATAAATACATGTATACATGTGGGGTCTACATATAAATAATAAAGAACACATATGGTGCTTACATATTAATAATAGAGTAACCTTGTTGGGCCTACATATAACAATAAAGCAGTCTTGTGAGGCCTACATATATGATAATAAAGCAGCCTTGTGGGGTCTACATATAACAATAAAGCAGTCTTGTGAGGCCTACATATATGATAATAAAGCAGCCTTGTGGGGTCTACATATAACAATAAAGCAGCCATGTGGGGCCTACATATAACAATAAAGCAGCCTTGTGAGGCCTACATATAACAATAAAGCAGCCTTGTGGGGTCTACATATAACAATAAAGCAGCCATGTGGGGCCTACATATAACAATAAAGCAGCCTTGTGAGGCCTGCATATATGATAATAAAGCAGCCTTGTGGGGCCTACATATAACAATAAAGCAGTCTTGTGGGGCCTACATATAATAATAAAGAAGCCATGTGGGGTCAACATATAAAAGATAAAGATACCTCTGTATAACTGTAGACACTGTAAGTGATTGGTTTTATAAATTTGCTGATTAGTGTGGCTGCTAAAAGGACTGCAATGAAAAGTGGGGCAATAAACTTCCACATAATCTTCCAGTAAGGGTGTGGTTCATGACCAATCATCTCTTTTATATCTCGAGCAAAACTGAAAAAGTTGAAGGTCACATAATTCTTTGTTTTTCAAGTTGTGATGAAACTCAATTTTCAAATGAACTACATGTATAAAATTTTTATTACAAATGTGCTATTATTACTTGGTGGAAACTTGAAAGATTGTCAATTTTGTTTATTTTCAAAATTTAGAAAGAACTAAATATATAAAAATTTAACTTTCTTATTGTTTGTTTCCATGTTTGATGTGATACAAATGTATATCTTATGTAAGAATTATTTCAACATCACATTACTTGTCAACTCCATACACCCAGCCAATTCCAAAGCTTTCCACCAGAGCTACAGTGATCAATGGGAAGGACCCACCAAAGGAGTCAAACAATCCCACCCAGTAGGATCCGCTCCCCAAAACAAACAAGATCCCGATCAGCATACTGACCAAGCATAGTGTCCCTGCAAAATACAATGTGTCAAAACTTTGATCTAAAAAAAAAATAAATTGATCATATTTTACATGTATGAAGGATCATCAGATCATGTCATTTACTAGCTGCTGTAATGTAGCCCTCTCAATTTAAAAAAAAAACCCATCATATAAAAAATATCCGAGAGGGCTACATTATAGCAGCTAATTATATACCTCTTACACTATAATGATATGCTGTGTATCATGACCCATCAACTCATCTAATTTGCCTACTGTCATCATATGACACTCAATATTAATAAACTATATTCTACAGTTATATAATGCCTAAAAAGGCAATAAACTGGATGTATTTCTTGAGGTTCTGGGAACAGCTCATTGTCCTCTATTGGCTGAGGGCAACCGAACACAATGAACTGTGCCCTGAATTGAGGGAAATATATTTCAATCTATTGCATGATTAGGATTTGACAATTATTTTATTACCTGATTCTACAGTTCCATATATTAAAAAAATCTAACAATTTTTGTAACAAATTATGCCCACAAGAAAAGGATTTTCTAGTTATAATAGCTTAGTGTACAAAACTTTTATTTGAATAATTTTCCTATCTGGAATAAATACAAATTTAGTTTCATAAATAAAAACTTACCAGAAACCAGCCATTTCTTCCTGAAAATTGGATGCTTTAAATCATACAGAGATGCAGTAACGCCCTCTAGTGTACCAAATTCACTGCCAAATCCAAGGGAGAGAAGCATGAGGAAAAAAATGATGGACCAGAAAGGAGCAGATGACCCAAACTCATTGATAGCCTCTGTAAATACAATGAAGGCCAATCCTGTTCCTTGTGCAGCCTACAATGTAACAATAGTAAACTCTGAATTTGATCAAGTCATACTTCTTGTGATTATTTAAGCCATACTTCTTGTGATAATATATGTTATCTCTTTCAGTTTATTGGTTTTAAAAGAGTAATTTACTATAAAGCAGGAGGGCTGAATGAATCATCAGACTGGGAATCAGGTTGCCAGTTTGATTACCAGCAGTTTTGTGATTGGAAAGTGCGTGTATCCTTGTACAATGCACTGCATCTGCATTGTCCAGTACCATATACAATTTTCACTTGACAGATTTAACATGAAAAACAAAAATCTTTGATGATGACCCAGACCTAATCCCCATATTACACTGAATATTAATGCCACAGAGCTGTAACACATGGTAGAGGTGCTTACGTTATCAAGATCATCTTTGAGACTACAATCTGTAAGATTTAAAGCTGACATCACGGTTTTGTTAGCCTGGAATTCATGGAGGTAGATTTCTTCAGTCAATGTTGTGGTGTTCCATTCTGGGTACAAGTTAGAGATGGTCTCTATATTCCTGTATTTAAAAAAAAAAACAGCATTTTTATGTCGACAGTATGCTGAAGTTATTCCCCTTATAATATAAAGCTACACCATAATAATTTTTCCATCATTCTCTTGTGCATGCATTGTTCATATGACAAGTCATACACAATGCTAATCATTACTTACTCTGTTCATTCTCCAACTCAATTAACAGACAATTAAACAATCTGCAGAATTACTCCTACAATGGAAAAATGCATGACTTTCCCCAAAATCTTTGATCAATAACCATCAGAAGACCTTGTGAACATCTTGTTGCTTACAACACAAAAAGTAAAGAATCTGACTGACCTCAAAATACATTTGTCGTACATTACAGAGGCCTTGAACCCCAACACTGAGAAGATGACCACGGAGGCCAGAATGGCTGTAAACCAGTTGACAATGGACACAATAATGGCATCTTTTTCACAGTTATTTTTCTTTGGGTTGTAACTGGAGAAGCCAATCATTCCTCCAAAGCCCAGTCCAAAGGAATAGAAGATCTGAGTGGCCGCATCCAGCCAAACCTGTGGATCCTCCAAACGGTCAAGCTGTAGATAAAAATTGGGATACAACAATAAAGAAAACAAAGATAAAGTGGAAAAAAAGATACAGTAGAATCAGCTAGTATTGTAAGTCTAGCTATCTAGGTATTTAATACACAAAGCCTGACAAAGGGAACGAAAATGACCCCATGCTATAATTGACAATTTGACATATATTAAATATGTTCTTAATATGTCAGAAAATAAGAAATATTTCAGGCAATAATTAATTTTTTATGATAATTGGCTGAATAAATGAAAAAGATTAATGAACAAAGAACTAAAAAATATGGAACTATTAAAATTTGTTGTTACACATGTATTTGAATAGAAAAAACATTTATACACCAAATCTACATAAGTACATAGCAACCTCGCATAAAGTTGTATTAATAAAAGATCTCTAAGAGCAGACTAAACTTTTTAGCTCTGACACTTGGCCATAAATCAGTAGATAACAGAGACATTGAACTTTGCAAAATTCCTACATTTTTTTTCTTATCAGAAAAAGTGCAATTATGGTTCACTGCAGATCTATTGAGCCATGGGAGAAACACAAATGGTCACAGAATAAAATAAAATAAGCCATCATTTACCTTATATACTTGCCTATAAGTCGGTTTTTTGGGAGTTAAATTTTGGTCCAAAACTCTATGTCCGACTTATAGGCGAGTCATAAAAAGCATAGTATTTTTCTGGACGGCGAACTGTAGTAATTTATAAAGATTTCCCATGATAATCATTGCACAACGTCTGGATATATTATATCATTTATGTATTCTAAGATTATACATAAAGTACAAGTATTTACATATTTTAATAACTTTATTTTTATTTAAAGTGTGCATTATGTATTTTTCTTAATGATTTAAAATTAAATATCGGCGTCATTTCTAAAAATATTAATCGAAACCAGGTTAAAACATTAGAGCATTGATTTTAAATTGTCAACTGAATCTGGCAAAAAGTTGTACCGACTTACAAGCGGGTCAATGGCAAATCCCTCCAAAATAACCTCAAAAATACAACCGACTTATAGGCGGACCGACTTATAGGCGAGTATATACGGTATAGATGTCCCTGTATTTAAAATTTGGAGCCATATGAGAATTTTTGGGAAAATACAGAATTAACAAACAGGTTATAGAAAATCTTTTTTTTTTTTAACATTAAAGGCACATTAACAGCCTGTGAAATTGCAATATGTTCTTGAATTTTATAGAAACAGGTGTATTTGAGTACTTTCAGCAAAGAATTAAAATATGATTAAGAAACAGTATTGATATATACTTGCACATTTTGGATCAAAGTTGTGCATTATACAAAATATTGAAAAATAGCTCAAATTTTGGACCATTTTTGAAAAAAAATTTAGGATATGGGAATAATGACACAATTCATTTGTCAACTTAAACTAAGCAGTTTCATTTTTCAGAAACTCACAGGGCCAAAAAAGAATCTTCATGAACCTAAATTGTTCTTTAATAGTTAACCAAATTATACTTGTACAACCTGGGTTGGAACAATTTATGCTTTTGATAATTTATAAAGGGTAAACTGACCCAACCCAGGTTATCAAATTAAATTAAAGTATTAAATCATTCCTCAGTTGCTACAAGTCTACTGTCAAGAATTTGTATTTGATCAATATTCAAACAAATAAGTCTCTGAAAGACAGTAGCTCTACTGGAAGAATGATGTATGTTGATCGAACTCTAACTTTTCTCACTTTTCTCTGAATAAATCTTTTTCTTCTATACTGGTTAGATAAAAAAGAACATAATTATTAGAATAATATGGAGGTGCTGATTGGGATTAAATCTGCAGATACAGTTGAACTTCAGGATCTCGAACATGTGTATCTTAAATACCATATCTCGACATGATTATAAAGTCCCAATACTTTTTCTTTACGTATTTCAACATCTTGAACCCTTGGATATTTCAAATTTTTTTCTCAGTCCCACAGAGTTTGATATAAGTAGAGATTTGTGGTGGCAGGTAAATAAATATTTCAACTATTTCTTCACTGTATCTTCTTTGATACATCTTTTCTGGAATGGTCACTGTGTTTTCAGTGTGTCCATTTTGACCAATTTGTACATAAAACTCTCAGACTCCCTGAATTTGATTAATTCATATCACAGAATGCCATAATAAACTTATTACTGTTTAATTACTATAAGCAATCTAATTAAAATCAGACTTCTTAGATCTGCGCCGTATACACTCTTACACAGAGTGTATATGGCACAGAACTAAGAAGTCTGATTTTAATTAGATTGTTACCATAAGTAGCAATATTTGACAAAAACTGCTTACAAACAGAACAACAGAAAACAAAGAATGTGAAGCAAAAATTATGAATGGTGATTGTGCAATACAGAATTCAAATTAACATTTAATTATGCATTGCACTTTGCAAAATTTCCAAATGAATCTTAATTAAATGCATACATGACTTCCCTGAGAACGTTGTAATTAACTCTGGTTTATATTTGATTGAGAAATGACTTTTTCTGACCTCTGCTTTAGTATGAGTGCACATGTCATCTAAGCTAAATTTTTAATCAATACAAAAAAAAAAAAAAAATATTAATGTCTCTGTAGCAGACAATATCTTTAATAAATTAATGCACAAAAATTTAGCTATATAATAGTTAACCATTGCTTCTGGCACCAGGTAAACTGAATACATTGTCACATTTTTGATTTATTACACATTTTTGTGAACCCTATACCCTAGACTAACAAATTAAGATTCTGACTCAAATTTAAAAAAAAAAAAAATAGAGGTTAATTAAACATTCAAAATACTGACTCTCCAAAATTAAGGACTTTTTGTAACCTTTATTTCATTGAAAAAAAAAAGAGTTAAATTAATTTGCATACATTTTAGCCAACCCTCTTGGATAAGGTTTAAAACAACTTTAACAGAACTTCATGCTTTAGTTTTATTCCTGTGCATGTCTAAGTATTTCACTAATGGTGAAAGAATTAATGAGCGATTGTGTATTCATTGATTAATTTGATATTCCGGTACTAAATCACTGAAGAGCAAACATTTAGTAAAATTCAAAGACGCATCTAAAAGATATATAGTGTGTACAAAATAATCATTAAAAGGTTGGGTTCAATCTTTTCTCAAGGACTCTGAGAAAGACATTTGCATCAGACACTATTAGGTGACATTTAATAAAGATCTTTTATCCTTGACCTATCTGCACTAAATGGTCCTTCACTGATCAGTACTGCTGAATTAGCACTGTGAAGTGCATGCTGCTGATCTGCAGAATCAAATATGTCCTTGACCTTGATACATGACATATTACTGCTAAAGCACTTCACATTTAACAAGTGTTCTAACTGTTACAAGAAAAAGAAATATGAGGTGTTAAAAAAAAGCCTTGCAGCAAATTCACCTAATATCTTTTTGTATCCCTACTGTACATTGATTTTTTCTCAAAAAGCTGACTCTGCATGCACAAATGGTTCTCTTGTTGTATCTTAGTGCAGTTCCATTTAATGTGAATAATTAACAAGCATTTTACAGACATCATAAACACTTCTTTGTGTTGACAAGAATTACAGCTGACTTCAATAAATGGTTAATGATGGTCCTCACCAAGAATTAAGTGTGCAGATGACTAAATAACTAATGCAGGTGATACATGGGGGTAACTCCAAATGGCAACAGAAAAAGTATTCTGAACATCTCTTAAGAAACTCTTCTAAAGGCAGCTGATCCAAAAAAGGTTCCTTTTGGATAATTTTTGACATTTGCATGTTAACTGTGTCACACTGTGTCTTAGAAGATGACATTTTAAGTGCCCTACCAGTGCATTTAGAAAATGCCTCATTATTCAAATAGAATTACATTTCCTTTTTGTATTTTTTTTTAATTCATAAAATTAATTTCAATTCTGACAAGCAGGAATTTTATTTTGGGATCATCCAAAGGTATACATATGGTGCAGTGCTATCAAAATCAAGAGGGAATTCAAATTATTTTTGAAACTTTCTTGGGTTTGGATTGGCAAAGATTATAATGAACATCATGTAATGTCTGATACATGTGCAGTATCATTCAAACCTGCAGTCTCTGATGAGACTGTAGCTCTTCTGGTTCATACTTATAGTAGTGGCAGAGAAAAGTTGCACCTGAACTGAAACATTTTTTTTAGTTTCATATTTATGAAATTGTTTTCTAAACTTGCACCAAGTTTTATTAAAAGATACTCTTAGTAACCATTGCAATTGAAATTAAACCATAAGCATAGGAAGAACTGCATTTTAAAAGCATTTCACAGGAATTTTTCACTAACTATAATTTTGTTTACTGAAATCAAAATCAAAATCTGAAAAAAAGCATTATGTATCTTGCTGTATACTAGTGTAACAAGTTTTAATAATATGCGAGGTATAGTATTGAAATTAAAGAATTTCTTAGATATTTATATTTTTATTAACCACAATAACACTGTTCATCAAGATACTAGTGCACAGAGTAATGTATCTTGGCATAGTCTAGAGTATAAATCAAACCAATACTGTAGTTGGTGTAGGGTTTTTAAAGAATTTTAATTCATTTTTAGTAACCTTGGCAACACTGTTCATTGAAATCAAAAAATGATAAAGAGAATTATGTATTTTAGTATCAGATTGGAAGATTAGGCCTACTCTTCATAGGCTGTAGTTCATGGAAATGTACTTCATGAAAATGTGAACAAAGAATTTCTTTCAGAAATTTCTTAAAGAAATATCATATCTTGTGTAATTGCATGATTGTCTGGACTGTTTGCAGTTTAACTTGTCTTGCAAGATGATTTCATGCATACATTATCAGATACCAATACAGGGCTTCATATTTAGACCTCTACTCAACGCATAGAGCCATTGAGCAGTGAGGGTTCTCAAGCATTGCAAATGCCTGCCACAGCACAGGGCCTCACTTTTTAAAGTCTCACCTAAGAGACACACAATTTTCACTTCAAAGTGCTGAATGT